CTGCTAACCCAGGGTTGGACTTCTCCTACAGCCAGAGGTGCCCCAGAAGAAAGGGGTGGTGGTTGACTTCTGAAAAATCAGCCACTGATGTTTCTACAGAGAACAGAGTTCTACTCTGATACACTTGGGGTCTCCAGGAGTGGGTCTCATGGACTAGTGCGGGGAAGAGGCCAGGCCAGTCATCACAGGCACAGGCCTGACTTAGGTCTCACAGTTGCTTGTCCCTGATGGTTTTCATCCCTGCCCCAGGCTGGGTGAAGATGTGCCGGGCAGCCCTCCTAGCCTGTGGACATCTGCCAAGGCCCAAGGATGGCTCCCTGCAGGCTGACTGGCCTTCACCACCTGTTTGAGCACAGGGCTTTTCCTAGGGTTAGACATTCAGCGTATTGGATACCATTTTCCAAAATCCTCCTTTGAGCCTTTCTAGAAACCTGGCTCTTTCTGGTCCCCCTTCTCTGTTCCCCAGAATCGTGCACACAGCGGCCCGGCTCTTCTGCCCTGATGGCTAAGTGTCAGCCGGCAAGTGCAGGCTGGCAGGGTGAACCCAGCAGCTGTTCCCAGAGAGAGACGAGGCTGCCAGCCTCTGGGAGAGGCCTGGTGGCGCAGTGGGTTACGCAGAGAGGCTGGGCTGCTAACTGCAAGGCAGGCAGTGTGAACCCCCGGTTGCTCTGCAGAATGATGAGGCTTTCTGCCCCCGTGGAGACTGACAGCTAGGCTCGAAGCCCACAGGGGCAGCTCAACTGTCCGACAGGGTCCCCGTGAGTTGGAATCAACTTGATGACAGTGAGCGAGAACTGAGCAAGCCTGCTTGGGGAAGGGCACAGCTTCGGGGACCCCACGAAACATCCACCCTGTCCTGTGGGCTCGCAATGAGTGGAAGTGGACTCGAGGGACTCCTTCCTCTTCTCCCCTCCCTGTGCTCCTGGCACGGCACCCCAAGGGCAGCTGTCAGGGTGCTCAGAGCCCCCTTGCTTCCTCAACAGAGCCCACTGGGGTTTGGTTGTATGTGGCCCGTGGGCGGAGGTGAAGCCAGGCCGCCTGCAGTCTGGAGCAGGCTCCATCACCCACTGGTGACATGCCCTCTGGAGAGGTGGGGACACTTCTTGTGACAGGAGTCCCCGGAGGTTATGAGCCCTCCTGGCCTGCGGGGAGCCATCCCAGGACGGCAGACATGGTGAAGCCAAGGCGAGGCTGGCACCTGGGGCCCTCTGACGTGTTCTCCTTGCCCCAGTGCCCATCGGGCCCATGAAGAAGGTGCTGGTGGACAGCCCCAAGAGGCGCATGCTGCTCATCGAGAATCTCCGGGAGTCCCAGCCGTATCGCTACACTGTGAAGGCGCGCAACGGGGCCGGCTGGGGGCCGGAGCGGGAGGCCTTCATCAACCTGGCCACTCAGCCCAAGCGGCCCATGTCCAGTGAGTGGCGGTGAGGTGGCTCGGGCAGATGGGGAGCCTGGGGGAGGCAGAGACAGGGCACAGGCTCAGCTCCCGCTGTCCCCCGCAGTTCCCATCATCCCCGACATCCCCATCGTGGATGCCCAGAGCGGGGAGGACTACGAGGGCTTCCTCATGTATAGCGACGATGTCCTACGCTCGCCGGGGGGCAGCCAGAGGCCCAGCGTCTCCGATGACACCGGTGAGTGAGCCTGGGACCATGTTACAGGGGTCCTGAGAGACCATTGGGCATGAGGTCAAGACAGATACCCCCCCCCCAAGCACAATCAACTGGGGGACTCATGGTACTTACACTGGGTCAGAGGGGCCAGGCAGACAAGGTCTGTGTGCGGTCTGAGTGTTAGGGGCCGGAGGCAGACGGGCGTTGTGCACACGGACCAGTGGAGACCGCTCTGCAGGGCTCAGGCCCCGCTGGGAGTCAGGGCCCTCGGGGCAGGCCCCTGGCAGAAGGCCCCTGGCAGTCACTTGGTAAGGTGCTAATGAGGCAGTGCCCAAACATGGGCCCTGCCCCCCCCCACCTTCTTGGTTTCCAGCACAGTCCCATGGAAAGCCCCTGTACAGTGGTTCCTGGGCACAGTTCCCAGGTGGCCCTACCCCAGGCCCACAAGCAACCCCTCAGCCTGCTGCCCGTTCTTCGGAAATGGGATGCCAACTCTAGTTTCCTGAATGAATTCACACTAGACCCCAAGGGGCTAAGCTTGGTCTTGGTCTCATGAGCCACCTGGAAGATCTGAAGGCACCCTGGTGGTCTACTGGTTACGTTCCCATCTGCTAATGGAGCAGTTGCCTGTTGAAACTCACCAGTCATCCTGCAGGCCACTGTGGCCGCCTGCTTCCGTCGACGTACGGCCTGTGAGCCGGAATCCATTAGATGGCAGTGGGGTGGGTTTGGGTGAGGGTCTGAGGAAAGACCACCTGGTCAGAAGCCAGGAGTCCCAGCTGCTACTGGCCCTATCGGTACCGGCAATGGTCCCTGGGAGGCAGGTAGGGAAGGGCCCATTCTGGCCACTGAACAGACAGGGAAACTGAGGCTCAGAGCCCAGAAGTGCCTTCAGGGAACCTTCACCAGGTTGCCCGGGCTCCCAGCAGTTCTTGGGGTCGGTCTGTCCTCGGAGCCACACTGCAGCTCACAAGAGGAGGTGCTCAGCGTCCACCTGGGTGGGCCCTCGGGGGCCCCAGGCTGGGGCTCTCCATCTCCTTACACCTGGATCTTACCGAGCCTGGAGGACTGGCCTTTCGCCGCGGCTCCGCCCACCTCATCCGCCGGCCGCTCCTCCTGCAGCCATCAGCCCGCCCACCCCGCCGGCGCCAACGCGGCCCTTCGTTGTTCCCAAGGAGGCGGTGGCTGGAAGTTCGATGCCCTGCTCGGGGAGGAGCTGGACCTGCGGCATGTCACGTGGCGGCTGCCCCCGGAGCTCATCCCGCGCCTGTCGGCCAGCAGCGGGTGCTCCTCCGAGGCCTCCCCTGCGCCCCCAGATGACGGCATGGGGGGCGCCAGACCACCCCGCAGCGCAACCCCTGGGCCCCCCGGAGGTGACGGCTCTCTCGAGGCTGCACCCCGACCGCACACACTTAGGCCCCCTCGGCGCCCGCCCTTGGGGCCCCTGGGTGGGCAGCGCCCCCCAGCTCCACTGAGGCTCAGGCACCCATGATGGTGGACTGACCAGGGGCAGAGCGGCAAGCCCTGCCCCACCACTGGGGTCTGCCCTGCTTGCATCCTGCAGGTGTTAAGAGTGTGGCCAGCCAGGGGCAAGGTGGCCCTTCTCCAGGAACAAGTGCCCTTGTCCCTGGTGGCCGAGGGCGGTTGGCAGGATAGCTGCCAAGTCCCTGGAGGGTTGCCAACCATGGGACTTCCCAGGACCCCCATCGGGGCTATGGCCCCGTCTCCTGTGGATGACCCTGCCCTCCTCCACAGAGCACCTGATGAATGGGCGTATGGACTTTGCCTTCCCGGGCAGCGCCAACTCCCTGCACAGGATGACTGCGGCCAACGCGGCCTACGGCACCCACCTGAGCCCACAGCTGCCCCGCCAAGTCATGAGCACCTCCTCCACCCTCACCCGGGACTACCACTCGCTGACACGCACCGAGCGCTCGCAGACGGCCACCCTGCCCAGGGACTACTCCACCCTGACGTCCGTCACATCCCACGGTGAGCGCCCGGCCACCCTTCCCTTCCCATCCTAGAGGCTTAGGCTGTGGGCTCGGGGACCCCAGTCCCCACCGTCCAGCATAGGCACCCACACCCCTCATACACACACCCCCTGCGCCCCACCTCTCTCACGCTTGTTTTATTCCAATGTAGGCCTCCCTCCCATCTGGGAAGCTGGGAGAAGCAGGCTTCCATTGTCCTGGGCCCTGGGGGTCCGGAATCGGACTCAAGTGAAAGGGCTGCCCCCCTTTGGGGGTTCAATCATCCTGGCGGGGCAGCCCACAGCGCCCTCCCAGGACCCAGGTAGTGCAAGGGTGTCGTGTCGGACCTGTTGCCATGGCTGACCTGCTCCATCTGCCACCTGTCCAGTCACTGCCACCACCTTCTCATCCATCCTCCATTCCACCAGCACAGGAACTAACCCCCGGCCCAGCCCATCCATGCTGAAGCCTAACGCAGCTCCACCGGGTAGACAGGGGTGGGGGTGGGGGCAGCCAAAGGAGGGGGTTGCTGCTCGGCCACTCAAGGTGCTCGCCCTCTCTCGGCACAGGCAGGGCCCGCACCCACTCTGAGGACGTGCGGGAGGTGCTGGGTGGCCTGGACAGGGTGATGCAGGGTGAGTGAGCTCCCCCGCAGGCAGTGCAGACATGCCAGGGAGGTGAGGGCATCTGGCTCTGACTTCCCTTCAGAGACCCCTGCCTCTGAGGCTCTGACTGTGCCCCTCTGTCCCCAGAATCGCGTGTGGTTGCAGGTGTGCCCGACACACCCACGCGCCTGGTGTTCTCAGCCCTGGGGCCCACGTCTATGAAAGTGAGCTGGCAGGAGCCGCGCTGTGAGCGGCCGCTGCTGGGCTACAGTGTGGACTATCAGCTGCTCAACGGCGGTGAGTGCTCCAGGGGGTGCTGCAGGGACCCCTCCACACACACAGCTGCCCCAACCCAGCCATGGAGAGGAGGGTCCCTCACCCAGCTCCTCTCTGCTAGGCTTTACCAAACAAGGCCCTACTGACCTCAGGCCTGGGGCCTTGTTGGCCTGACCTGCCTGGGGAGGCTGAGAATGGGGGCCTCCAGGCAGGGACAAGCCCAGGCCAGGATGTGGGTGGGCTCGGGCACCACCTGCCCCTTATAGTGTGGAGGCCAAACCACCAGCCCTGTCTGAGGACTCCAGCCTGCCTGCCTCCTGTACCCTGGGAGGGACAGGGAAGGGGTGGGAGGATGCCAGGGTGGGAAGGTGCCAGGGTGGGAGGGTGCCAGGATGGGAGGGTGCCAGGGTGGGAGGGCCCGGCACCACTTTCTGTCCCACCCGCCCCCAGAGGAGTGGCATCGGATCAACATCCCCAGCCCTAGCCAGACGTCCGTGGTGGTTCAGGACCTCCTGCCCAACCACTCCTACGTGTTCCACGTGCGCGCCCAGAGCCAAGAGGGCTGGGGCCCCGAGCGGGAGGGCGTCATCACCATCGAGTCACAGGTGCACCCGCAGAGCCCACTCTGCCCGCTGCCAGGTGAGCGGGGCCTCCCCCTAACGCCCCCCAGTGTACTCCGGCCCCAACCCAAGGACACCCAGATTCCACCTTCACCCCAACACGACACTCCGCCCACCGCTCTCCAGGCCCCGCCTTCACTCTGAGCACCCCACCCCTCAACACACTGACCCTCGGCTCCGCTCCCCAGGCTCCGCCTTCACCCTGAGCACCCCCAGTGCACCGGGCCCCCTGGTGTTTACCGCTTTGAGCCCCGACTCACTGCAGCTGAGCTGGGAGCGGCCACGGCGGCCCAACGGGGACATCCTTGGCTACCTGGTGACCTGTGAGATGGCCCACGGAGGAGGTGCTTTCCCCTGCCATGGTGGGCGAGGAGGGACTGGAGAGGTCCGGAGGGGGCGGGACAAGAGGCCTGACGGTGGGTCCCCTGCCCAGGGCCTGCCACCACGTTCCAACTGGATGGAGACAGTCCCGAGAGCCGTCTGACTGTGCCAGGCCTCAGCGAGAACGTGCCCTACAAGTTCAAGGTGCAGGCCAAGACCACGCAGGGCTTTGGGCCGGAGCGCGAGGGCATCATCACCATAGAATCGCAGGATGGAGGTAGGGAGCCGGCTCCCACCACGCCCCGCAGACCACGTGCCCTGACCACGCACCCTGACCGATGTCCCCTCTGCGTGCTCCAGGGCCCTTCCCACAGCTGAGCGGCCACGCGGCGCTGTTCCAGCGCTCACTCCCACGGGAATACAGCAGCGTCACCACCACCCACACCAGCACCACCAAGCCCTTAGTGGGTGAGTGGCCGGCCGGCTGGGACGCCAGCAGAGGGGGTGTGGCTGGGATCCCGACAGGGTGCTTCAACACCTCTGCCCCTGCAGATGGACTAGCCCTGGGGTCCCAGCACCTGGAGATGGGTGGCTCGCTCTCTCGGCACGTGACCCAGGAGTTTGTAAGCCACACGCTGACCACGAGCGAGACCCTCGGCACACAGGTGGATACTCAGTTCTACCAGACCTGAGCCCCGCCCCACCCCAGTGCCTCTCCACTGCCTTGCTTCTGCACTGCTAAGGCTCCCCAAGCTCAGCCCCCACAGGCGACTCAGCCCCCAGAGAGCTCTCAGCTACAGAAAAGGGGGTGGGAATTGGCAGAAACCTGGAAAGACCCCCCCTGGCTGCCTATTCCTCCCCACCCTGCCTCACTAAGGGCTCCAAACCCGTTCGTAACCAAAGACCAGACCCCAAGTGCCAAGGGAGGGCCCAGCCTCAGACCTGCAATTAATAAAAGATTTTACTACTCCTCAGCTCTACCTGTCTAGGCTTCTGGGCCAAGAGAGGTACCACCCCAGTCCTGGCCCCCACCCTGATGCCCCAGCAGATACACCTCGGGGCCACACAGGAAGACAATAGAGGCACAAGTTTATTGAGCACCCAGATGTGGTGGGCAGGCACCAAGGCCCCGAGCTGACCAGCAGCCCCTCACAGGGGCAGCACCGAGGCACCGTTAGCGGCCTGGGAGAGGTAGAAGGTGGCCTTCCCGCTGTACTGCTCCTGTGGGAGAGGGGAGAGGGTCTGAAGGGGCCCCGGGCACCAGGCCAAGGGGGCCCCTCCCTCCAGGCTTGGAAAACGCTCACCTGGATCTGCTTCATGGCTCGAGCTGCAGCAGAGGCCTCCAGCAGTGTCACCGTGCACCCGCCAAAGCCACCGCCTGTCATGCGGCTGCCATAAACCCCGGGCACAGACAGCGCGGCCTCCACCAGCTGGTCCAGCTCGGGGCAGCTCACCTCGTAGTCATCCCTGCCAAGAGGGCACAGAGGGCGGGCCTAGGACATGCTGGCTGGGGACAGCTAGCGAGCACCTGCCTGTGAGGTGCGGGTGCCCGGAGGGCTTACCTGAGCGAGTAGTGACTCTCTACCATGAGCCGGCCAAAGGCACGGTAGTCCCCGCGGTTCAGGGCGTCGGCAGCCTGGGCCGTGCGCCGGATCTCCCCCACGACGTGCCGTGCCCGCCGGAAGCCCTCCTTGCTGACCAGCTCTTTGCCAGCTGGGGAAGAAAGGGTGTCAGCAGACCACCTCCCAGGGGCCCTGCAGTATGTGTGTGTGGGGGGGGAGCGCCAGGGGAGGTATCATTCAAATGTTCCTTGCAGAAGCCTGGTGGCATAGTGCTTATGCATTGGGCTGTTAACTCTAAGGTCAGCAGTTCAACCATCAGCTGCTCCTTAGGAGAAAGGCAGGGATTTCTATTCCCACAGAATTACAGTCTCAGAAACCAACAAGGTCCATTTTACCATGTCCTGTAGGGTCCCCATCAACCCAATGGCAGTGAGTTTGTTTCTGTTTGAGTGAAAGGGTGGAAGGTCCAAAGGTCAATGCCAACTTCCAAGGCCCAGCTCTGAACCCGAGTCTAAGCCAGAGCTGGAACTCTGAGCAAGTGACTGGGCGCCTGAACACCCTCTTCCTCCTGGCAGAACGGGGCACCAGCCTGTGGGTGTTTGGCACACAGCAGACCAGCAGGCAGCCGTTTCCGGCCTAGGCCCCGCAGGTGCTGCCAGGATGCATGGGACCCTGCCCTACCAGGGTCACCCAGGCAGGACAAGAGTGCAGACGTTGACACAAAAGTGATAGTGGCATTGGGAGGACCAAGGACACAGGGGACAGGAAACTGCCTAGGGGCAGGGTATGCCGGGGACTGTAGGTCAGTGTCAAGGAGAGCTAGCTACTTCATTCCATGGGCAGCTGAAGCCATGGCCAGAGCAGGAGAACACAGCTGAGTTCCTGAGGACAGTGGGGCCTGCAAGAAGCAGGTGCTGGAGGCAACTATGGATTAATTAAATACACCCACCTGGGGGTCCCGGACAGCAGCAGGAGTGGGAGAACTCGGGCTGACTGAGGTTTCTACCAGGCACAATGAGGGCAAGACGGTGGCAGAAAACAGGAAGCCCAGGGAGCCTGGGAGGAAGCAGTTCAGAGGGCCGTGTGGCCCCTGAGTGGACACAGAACAGTGGTGAGGAAGGCAGGGGCCAGAGATACAGGTATGACCCTTCAGGAGCCACTGGGGCTGCTGTGTAGGGAGGTCGAGGTTGGGTGTGGTGGGGGCACGTCAGAGGGGAAATGAGTGAGCCGTTCTCAGGCTGCAGGGGGAGGTGGGAGGGAAGAGGCCAAGGCCAAGTGTAAGCCACACGTTTTATGTCGGGCAGCCATCATCGGGCCTAGTCCATGGGGTCAGGGAGGGAGGCATGGGGAGGGGTCGGCACACTGAAGGCTGGGGAAGCACAGGAGCCGGGGGCTCTCCCAGGAGTTGGGGGAGGGGGCGGGCGGGCAGGGACACATACACACACAACGTTCTCTCCCTCTTACTAACATCAGAGCAACTCTGACTCACAGCGACCCCACAGGGCAAAGCAGAGGTGCCCCAGTGGGTTTCCGAGACTGTCAATCTTTACAGAAGTAGAAAGCTTCATCTTTCTCCAGCAGAGCAGCCGGTGCGTTTGAACTGCCGACCTTCCGGTTAGCAGTCCAACTCAGGTAACCTACTCTGCCACCAGGGCTCTTCTGAGAATCCTTGGAGGAGGGGAGAGAGCAGAGAGGTCTAAGTCTTGGGGTTTGAAGGCGGCAGGGAAGGAGCAGGCAGAGGCCAGGAAGGCAGGCGCAAAGGGGGCAGGGCTACTGGACAGGGGGACACCCGGAGACGTGAGAGGAGGGTGCCAGGTCAAGGCACTCAAGTGTGAAGACCTCAGCCAAGGTGGTCTGACCAGAGCAGGGGAGGCAGGCCTTGGAGAAGGCGACAGTCACAAAGGGAAGAACGAGGTGAGCCCTCGGGCTGGCCCCATGTCCTTGAACAGGCCACTCCCATGCTGGCAGGGAGGGCGCAGCTCCCAGAGTGGACGGGAAGCAGAGGCTCACGGTGTGGGCTCCAGCAGGTGGCCGGGCCTCAACCTCACCGCTGCCCCTTTCTGTAAACCGCCCCAAAGGGGCTCAAACTATGGGTTCTCTGGCTCACCTCCACCAGGCCTTAGAACTTCCTGAAAGGACACCAGCCTTCTGGTCAGTTGTCTTCCTTCAAAGACTCACTGCCAACGAGTGGATGTCCACTCCGAGTGACCCGATAGGGCAGAGTGTGAGGTTCTCAGGCTGAAACTGTTCCTGGAAGTAGAAATCCCTTGCTGTCTCCTGAGGAGAGTCTGATGGCTCTGAGTTCAAAGCCCCAGGTGTAAGCACTACGCCACCTGGGCTCCTGTTCAGTGTGTTAGGGACTTTAAAAAAAAAACAAAACTAAAACTGCTAGCTTTCGGATTCTAGTTCTAGGGATGTGTTGCTGATGTTGCCATCAAATAGGTTCCGACCCATAGTGACCCTGTGCACCACAGAAAGAAGCACTGCCCGGTCCTGCACCGTGCTCCGAACTGCCCCTAGGCTCGAGGCCCTCGTTGCAGCCAAGGAGTTACCCCACCTCCTGGAGGCCCTTCCTCTTTTTCACTGCCCGTCCACGTCAGCAAGATAATAAAGAGAACACAGAGTCAGACGAGCCGGGCGCGCTGTCAGAAGATAGCGTCCTGGATGCCGTCTCTTTGGATGATAAACGTCCCCTGGCAGAAAAGGGGGTTCTAATATAGGGAATTGCAAACACCGAAAATTAAGAGAAGGGAGCAGATGAGACAAGTGCATACTCTCTTATTTGGAGAGCATGGTGGGCACGTGCTGAGGGAGATGCTTCCAGGTGGTGGCCCGGTATATTCTTCTCTGCACTTGCTGCGTCTTCTACAACAAACCCCGTGGCTTGGTGGTTACCAGGTGGACTGCAGACTGCAGGGTCGGCTGTTGGAAACCCCCACCACTCTGCCAAGGGAGGAAGATGAGTTTCCTCTCCCATAAAGAGCTGCAGTCTAGGAAGGAGCAGTTCTGCCCTGTCCTGTGGGGTGGCCATGAGTCAGACTCAACCCGGTGGCAGTGAGCTGGGTACCGAGGGAAACCAAGCCTCGGATGGGCAGGAAGGAGCACACAAACCTGAGAAGAGAGGAAGATCCCAAACACTGCGGAGAGAGACCGGGGTGGGGCGGTGTGTATGTGTTGCAGGGTGCTTGGGTGCAGGGAGTGGCCAGATGTGGCAAGAAGGCCCTGGAGGTCAGGTGCTTGCCTAGCTCCAGGGCAGCACGCCCTGCCAGCCTCACCTTCCAGCTCCTCCAGCTGCACCTCTCGGAGGCTCTCCTTGCCCAGGGCCTGCGCCACCTCCTCGCACTGGCGCCGCCGAAGAGGGTACTCGGTGGAGCCCAGCGAGTGGCGGACGTTGGAGTTGGTGATGAGCACGGTCAGCTTGGGGTCCGAGAGTGGCACCAGGCTTGTCTCCAGGGACCTGGGGTGGAGACGGCAAGGCTGATGTCTGATTGCTAGGCCAGTGGGGTGGGCACACTCCCCCCGGGGGCTCCTGAGTGTGCACCGGGAGGGGGAAAGGGGGCCTGACCTGCAGTCGATGAGCAATGCGTGACCCTTCTGCCCCAGCAGAGCGATGAGCTGGTCCATGATGCCACAGGGCACCCCTGCGAAGCTGTGCTCGGCCTGCTGACACACCTGGGCTTGGGCAGCTAATTCTTGAGAGTCTGCAGCACAGGGCGGGAGGTTGGGAGGCAGGCAGCTCCAAGGAGTTTCCCATCGCCCTCCCGAGATGTAGGGCAAGAAGGCCTGAGCCCGGCCCTCAGGCAGAGAGGGGCCCTGGGTAGTACCTGTGCAGAGCTGGTGGAGGAAGGTATATATAGCCACTTCCAGGGACGCCGAGCTGGAGAGCCCACCCCCCAGGGGCACGGAGCTGACCACAACCGCATTGAAGCCTGGGAGGGGGCCAGCTGCAAGGGGGAAAGTGGGCAGTGGTGAAATAGGGTGTTGGAAGTAGGCACAGGAAGGGCATGTGGCCTGGCATGAGGAAAGGCATTGGCCACCCCCTGTCTCTAGGGGGTGTCTCAATTGTCAGTCTCTTGCTGAGCTAAAGACCCAACTGCCCTCTGGCTCCCTCCATCCCTCCCTTGTTCCTGGGCCCCTTTGTTCCAGTTCTCTGGCTGGCTTAGGGCTCTGGAGGGCAACAGGCTAGGGCTGGTCATGTTCCAGAACCCCTTTGAGCATCAGTTGCCTCATCTGTAAAATGGGAAGGCTCCAGCCCATGGATTAGATGAGTTACGGAAGGTCAAGCCTGAGAGGTGGAGCATCTGCTACCAGTGGGCAGACCTAGGCTGGTACCTGGGTAGTGTTGAATCACCCCCTTGACGTAGTTGGCCCAGTGGGGCGTCCCGGGCTGCAGTGACCGCTGGGCCGTGGGCAGGGGGAACTGCAGCCGCCGGGGCTCATCGGCCAGCTCAGCAGTGGTGAGGAGAGAGACGAGCTTGTCTGACCGCAGGCTGCCAACCACCACAGTCATCAGCTCCAAAGCCTGGCAGAGGGAGAAGATGCAGTCAGCCAGGGCAGGAGATGCATGGCCCTCAGGGGCCCCGGGGAAAGGCGGGGAGCCAAGCCACTAGGGATGGGAGGGGTCAGGAGTGAGTTGACCTTAGGGGTTTGGGCCTGGCCTGCTGGGGCTGCAGGGGCTGGCCAGATATGGCCTGTGGGCAGATCTGGACTCTGGACTCTGCACTAAGCATGGGCTCCCAGCTGAAAGCCAAGAACAAAAAGGCTTTAGAAGCGCAGTTTCCACTTAAACTGCCCCCCATCTGAGACCAGCCAGAACCACCATGTTTCTGACTCCTGGTGACCCACGCTGAAAATAGGGTGGGGAGATCCCTCCATCTGAGAGGAACCCTAACTACTTGCAGCTCATCAAGAGCCTGCTGTGTGACCTTGGGCAGATCACTTGCCCTTTCTGGACCTCATTGTTCTCCATGAACTGGGCCCAGCATCTCAGGTCTAGCGTGATGGAGTGCCCCCCCACCCCCCACCCCCGTGTCGGCCCGAGAGACCCAAATGCCACTTGACATCTGCCCACAGTTTGAGGCCAGCGCTCTGGGCCGGTGGCGAGGACCTGTCGATCACATGGTGGTTCCCAGTAAGTGGATTCCACGCCCCCTCGAAGCGGGTTTCCAGCTTCCTCCTTCCGAAGCAGGAAGCTCGGGTCCCAGGCCCACCCTCAGAAGCGTCTCCCCCAAACTCCGGCTGGGAAGTCGGGTGCTGCCCGCCCAGCGTTCCACACGAAGAGAAGAGCGTCCGCCTCCCTGCACCCTGCCCTTGGCCCGGGCTGCGGGCTCTGGGACCCCCGCGCCCCTCACCATGGGCAACACCAGGCCCTGGTTGTAGTCCGTGTGCTCCCCGATGAGGTTGACGCGGCCCGGCGCCGCCACGGCCAGCTCGGGCTCCGTACCGAACTCCTCCCGGAAGGCCTGCTGGGCCTCGGCCAGCAGCTCGGCCACCTGCGGTTGCCTCGTAGCAGCCATGTCGCTCTCCCGCCGCGCGCAGCCTCGGCCCGCCCGCCGGGTTAAGGCTGGATGCTTGGGGCGGGGCCAAGGCAGCTGGCCACGCACATTCCCGCGCTCCCGGGGACGCGCCACCCCACCCCGTCCCTGCTGCGCGCGCGCACTCCGCGCGCCGGGGACCTGCGCGCGCCCGACTGGGAGTGGGGAGAGGGGCGGCCCCTGCCACCCCACGCCCCGCCCCAGGGTCCGAGCTGGCTCCGCCCCCGCTGGCTCCGCCCCCGCAGGGGTCTCTCCCGCTGGAATCGCCAGTACCAGGAACTGTGGCACGTCAGCAGCCTCTGGAATTTGGCTCCGCGTTTTGTGCGGAAGTGCGCAGCTTGGAGCCCTGTTGAGGGTTTGTCCCAAAGAGCGGGGACGTGCCTTCAAAAAGCATCTCTGAAAACCTCCTTAGGCAGGATGGCCTAGCTGATTATGGTCATCCCTGTCATTGAGCCGTGCCCTTGTAAAACGGTGTCACTGCTGGGGGGGGCACGAGGTGGGAGTCTGCACCGCACTCGGAAGAGTTAGGGCTAAGGGCCAGCATCTTGCCCTGTCTTTGCCCCGATGCTGCCTCCATGCCTCCATGGTACTTGGCCGGACTCCAAGGGCTGAGCTGCCCTGTCTACTGGACATGGTGCTCTTCTATGTGCCTCCCCGCCCCCGCCCAGCCGCCCTCCCTGACTCACAGCTCCACACACAGCCAGGGCAATAAGGCTGGCATTCAGCAAGATCTCTTAAGTAACCTGGTGTTACAGCGGTTAAGCATGTGGTTGCTAATGGAATGGTCAGTGGTTTGAACCCACCAGCAGTTTTGAGAGAGCACAGATTTGGCCATCTTGTCCTATCAGGCCTGCAGTCTACGGGGCAGTTGTACTCGGACCTAAGGGTCTCCATGAATCTGAATGGATATCACCTTACAGCACCCGGACCCAGAAATAGTGCCCAGCCCCCAAGTCCTGATCATGGGTCTCAGGATGAGTAGAGATGACGAAACCCGTGTGACAGTGATCAGGGACTCACTTGCTCATGGGCTTCTTGTCTGGGGTAAATCCACTGTCACAGCTCCTAGCAACAGAGGACTGAAGTTGGGTGGCAATAGCCAGCCAGCTGTGAGCCCTGTCTCTCCTCCAGGGACCCACTGCAGCTGCCAAAGAAGGTTGGACATTTAACCCCAGCAGGTGTTTCCTCAGCCTGGGAGCCTTGGTCTGGAGGCAGGGCCTCATGCCCAGGGTCTGGCATTTGCCACCTCTCTTGCCAGCCTGCATCTGAACCTTCAGGCTGGTCCCCCAAGCCCTGTCTGTAACTCTAGCCACAGTTGCCCACCCAATATGAAACCTTGAGCTGGTCTGGCAGAAGGAACCAAAATGTATGCAGCCCCTGGGATTAGGGCCAGGGCTGGGTGGGAAGCTGTGTAGGCTCAGGGCTGTTCAGGAGTCTATCCCAAAGAATGGAGAGCAGCAGTCAAAAGGCAGCTCTGAAAATCACTTTCATGAGGCGGTCGGAGTCCAGCTGATTATATTGCAATCCCTGTCAATAAGTGGCACATCTGTAAAAAGTGGAATTGGTAAAAGTTGTGCGGTAGGTGTGTTTACAACAATGACAATGATGACAACAATAAAAGAGGAGCTGCTTAGGCACAACCGAAAATCTCATGGAATTTGGTTCCTTGGTTTGGAGGGTTAGTGGCCCGGTTTCATGGGACATCCCACTTGCTTCTCCTCAAAGCAGGGCTGATGCCTCCGGTCCACCTCCTGGTTTGTCACAGAGTGCCTGGGGTCCTAAACTGACACTGAATAGTACGTGAAACTGGCCAGCCGATGTGTGCTTTGCTGGGCATATTCTCAACAACAATAAGAGATTGGGTTTTGTGTTAGGCCGGGTTGGCTAGAGAAACAAATCCAGTGACATATATATGTGCAAGAGAAAGCTTTATATTAAGAAGTAATTACATATCAAGCAAACATCCCAGCCCAGTCCAGATCAAATCCATGAATCCAATCCTAGTCCGTAAATCCAATTCTAGTGCATAAGTCCCTCTTCAGACTCACAGCCACATGAACCGATGCAGAATGCAGGATCATCACCGGCCAGTGGGTGCAAAGTCTTGTGGATCCAATGGTGGTGGCAGCATCCCAGGGCTCTGGGAGCCCCCAGTGTGGCTCTTCAACAGGAAGGTGAGAGCAGAGAGTGAGGTCCTCAGGACCCTCCTTTTGAGAAGACCACACCCACAAGGAGACGTCATTAGACTGTATGTTATTCTGGGTACTTTAAAGAAACAAATCCACAGAAACTCATGTATAAGAAAGTTTTATATACAGGTTAAGTGCGCATCAAGAAAACATCCCAACCCAGTGCTACCCAAGCCCACAAGTCCAACATTAA